TCTCGATTTTTCTTCAGCACGTCGTGGAACTATCCTGATTTTTTTTCTAAATTTACTATTATAGATCTTTAAACTGCTCCAAAAATCTAAACTAAAGTTACGGGAACTGCTCTTAAGATCTGAAATGTCATTAAGAACTCTTGATATAGCTTTTCTGAGGAGCAAAGAACTTCTTTAAAAAATTCCACCTTACCCCTCAAGTTTTCTATATTTCTTAAGTTCACTTGATACCTGTGAAGTTCTCTGAAATTCTAGGAACTTCTTAAAAGTTTCTGAAAATTTTCGGGTGCTAAAAAACCGCTGTAAGGTTCTTCAAGCATCCAAAAAGTTTCCCATATTTTCAGCGCGTTAAATTCCTTTATGTACTCGCTCTTTGCTGATGGAGCTTCACTGAAATTCTCAGCATTCCCTTTCATTCCTCAGAACTTTTCTAAAGTTCCTACGATTGTTGTGAAGTTAATGGGACTGCCATGAAGATCGCTTATCTTTCATAAAGTTAATTACGAACTTGAAATAAATCATTTACTTTTTCTGTTAATTCTTGCACTTTGAAAATTTTCAATATCTAGAATTTCTAGATACAAGTTTAACGTGTATATGGAATACGAAAATTCACGAAAATTGCATATTTTTAGATCTTGGACTTACTCAAACTAAGTAAGCTTTTTAGCTTTATTAAAAGGAGAAATTAAATAAGTGTTAAACTTCAACATTCAATGGATTATATTGTAAAACTGTTTCTTTAAAACTGATTGCCATGTCTTAATAACTTTTGGGCTATTTTCTGTTGTTTGTGATCTACCAAAAAAGCATATGTTAAAGGCATTAAAAATAGCTTTCTTATTATAAATCTGGAATGTATATGTTAATGTTCTGAAAAAAACATGGAAAACGCAGGTAATTTTGTTTAGAAAAATGAGCAGACACCCTGCAGATAGAGAAAGACGACTAACGTCACAAAGCAATGAATGATCAATCTTGAAATAAATTCACGCTAAAAAGGTTGAAAATAGTGACTGATTACAAGAAAAAGTGACTTTAGCGACTTGGTCTTAAAAAAGGAGATTTTTTAGTGAGTGGCTTGAAAAAAAGTGACCAAGTCACTAAAAAGTAACTCGCTACCAGCCCTGAACAATGCTTCTTGACGCCAAACTCGGCCTACGGTTCCTAAGCTCAGCCTAACGCATTGAAACGCCAATGAATTTACATATATTGGGTGCAAACATTCATATCACGCGTTCTTATTGACTTCGTTCGGTAGCATTTAAACTAAAGTATCATACCAAACGCATAATTTACCTGTTAACGCCGAAATCATGGATTTATTTGATGTTTTCTGCTTGATTGGCCCAAAATGGGCGCTTAGGCCGAAGTAGTTCTTTACCCCATTACGCGATGGCTAAAATTCTGAATTTTTTCCTGTGTAGTATTGTGGTCCAAAACAAGTTTGGGGAACTTCGTTGGAGCTAAGGGAACTTTGATTAATGTTATGAAAATCTAAAAGGATGTAGAAAATTCTCAAACCTTGTTGAAAATTAACGAAAATTCTAGAAATTTTGGGAAACTTATTTGAAGTTTAGGGATTTTTGATTAACTTCACTACTCTTTTTAAAACTTCTGGGCTCAGAGTACATCGTGGAAGTTCAGAAAATTTAATAAAAATTCGGGGAGCTTCGAAGAGCTTCAGAGAATTTCGATCAAATTCAGGGTTCTTTGTAATGATCCGGGGTTATTTCTTAGAATTGGGTTCCTTAAACAAGTTTGGGAAACTTCGCTAATGTTAAGAGAACTTTGATTAGTTTTAAAGAAATTTAATTAAAAATTGTTTTAGCATCATGGCTTTTCGTTAAGGTTTGAGTACCGTAAGCGTGATAATTTTTGCACCATTGAGCAATGTCAAAATTAAAAAAAATTCTCAAAAATTTCGTTTTCGAGTTTTTTTTTTTATTTATTCAAAGGGGGGATGTTTCTCAGAGTCTTAAACTATGTTAATCATCGATCGAGTTTCCACTTGCTGCAATGACGGCCTCCACACGCTTCCGGAATGCACGGCAGGTTCTAATAATGTAGTCTGGATCCATTTCTCTCCAGGTACGGGTCAATGTTTGTCTGAGGCTTGCTGAACTTGGGTGGCGTTAAGAACAGGCCTTGGCCTTCATGACGCGCCATATTGAGTAATCCAGTGGATTAAGATCGGGGCTAGATGGCGGCCACATATCCTTCGCCCAGAACGGAAGATGTTCCTGCAACCATTTCTGAGTGCGGTTCGAGGTGTGGCACGGAGTCCCATCTTGTTGAAATACAACATTTGGCTTCGGACCGCACTGTTCATTGATCCACGGAAGAACATACTTACTTAAAATCCCGATGTAGACCTCTGTGTTGACCTTGTTGCCTTCTGGAATGAACAACGGGTCAATTTTTTTGCCATCGGAAACCACCAATCCAAACACCATAACGCTAGCAGGATGCTTGGTCTGATACACGTTCTTGTGCTCGTCGGCCACGTCTTTTACCGGAATTTGATACGGGATCGACGGTAAACATGCTCTCGTCGGTGAACAGGATTACCGGATTTTTTCGCTTAAGGAAGTTCAAGATTTTCTTACATCGTTCGACTCGTAGCTCCCGGATGCGGTTGGTGAACATGTGAGTTTTTTTCCCCGTGCCCTCGACTTCGCCCCGCAATCTTCCTTTACGATCTTCCGTGTCGTAAAGTCACTGATCCCGTGTTCCTTTGCCATTTTCCTTATTGAACGCACTGGATTCACCCGAATCTTCCTTTTGATAGCAGCGATAACCCTCGGAACCCGAGCTGACCTCGAACGACCTGTGGCCACCTTCGTGGATAGTTGTCCTTTCTTTTCTCGGTCTAAAACCCTTTTGACGGTCCACCGGGACACTCCCACGGCGATTGAAATGCCTTTTTGCGACATTTGCGTGTTGGACAAATCACGAATACGCTGCCACTTCGTCATGGTGCAACCAACAATCATTACGAAACTAACGATTTTAAATTGGCTCACCACTTTAGTAGCCTATTGGTCCCAAGCAAACGATTAACGTACCCTATTCTAGTTGAAATTCTATTACTACACTATGTTTGTTTTAATTCGCTATGAAAGTTTGACAGATAACATCAGGGGTGTGTGGATTCATGCAGAACATGCAGGGGTGAGTGAAATAGCTTGGGACTGCTTGGGACCGTTGTTCTGGTACTGAGTGAGCCAAAAATAATAATGATTTTCTTCGGGACCCAGTGGTCTTAGAGTTACCTCTATGGTGCAACTGTCAAACTAATGTCGTTTTCGTTTTTGCGGTGTAGCACTGGTGTAGTGTAAGCAAGAATAAGCGCGAGTCTTTGACAGCTCAACATCATTTGTTTGTAAACAAAGGTGCATTCTATATCTACACCCTAAAATATTTCGGTGTACGGCAGTGTAGCACCGGTGTAGCTACACCGCAAAAACGAAAACGACATAAGTAAATCATTTTCCTTTATACGCAGCCTACTACGGTATGAGCTATAGGTTACGTGCATGCAAAGAACTTAATAGGAATTCTGAGAACTTTTGTTGAAGTCAAGCGAATTAAGTAGCATTTCGAAGAACTTCGTAAAACATCGTAGAAGTGCAGGAATTTTATTTAAAAATTCGAGGTTCAGCCAACATTTTTGAAGCTCAGGTTTATTGTTTGATCTTCCGGGTTTGATTTGGGAGCTTACCTACCAAAAGGTTTGGGATCTTTGTTTCGCCCAGATTGTTAGGAAAATTCGTAGAAAAGGTTCAAGGTCTTTCTCGAAGTTTGGAGAAGGTCATGGATGTTCTGAGATCTTGATTGATTGATTGATTGATTTATCTTTATTAAGGAGGCTTTCAGCCTGAGGCTGGTTCGCCTCCACAGTTCTGAGATCTTGATCGAATTGAGAAAACTTTGAAAAAATTTAATTATGGATCTTGGAAGAAGCTTAAGTTTAAAAATTTATCATAAATTGTAGATGAGGGAACTTTGAAGGTATTCTAGGAAATTGGAGTAACCTTCAGGAAACCTTCTCCACCTGCTGGGATTGTGCGATTGTAAACAAAATGGTATGGATCGTTTATTTGATGCGATTGCTTCACTTTTGCGTGTGTTAGCTAACTGAAAGTGACTTTCATATTTCCCCACTTGCCCACCATCATCTGAAACACACATCGGTGCACTGTTAGCGGAATTGCTCCTCCCTTTACCCATGCTTCAGTCGACATTTCATTCTTTTGCACCTTTTTCGCGCTTTTGTTGCTAGTCTGTGTACCTTTGTACGACGATGTACCCGATGATGTGAAGGACCGCCGTTCGGAATACAGCCAAGCACAAGAAGGTAGCAACGGGCTAGCAGCAGCAGCACACCACGAGCCCCGACTGACGAGTGAATAAGCCTGAGCCAGGGAGTGCTGCAGCGAAAGAAGAAAAAAAAAAAGTTACCATTTTTCGCAAGTCTTTCCCATTCCTTTCCCGGCGGGCGGGCGCAGATCAGTTCGAGGCGCGCACCGGAGAACATATTAGTCACCCTCTGTCGATCGCTGCTGCTAAGCTGAGGCTAAGTGCTTTTCAGTTCAGTCGGATTCTTGTTGTACTTTTCGGGGTGGGATCCACGGTGCAATCTGGAGCAGTGTGGAGTTGAGTGTGGCCGTCTGACGTCACACGATCGTCTCTCTTGATCGTAGTTGCAAGTTACCTAATATGTAAGTGCACGGACGGGAGAGTTCAAGAAGAGGAAGAATAAGAAGAAGAATCGGCAGCTCAGACGGATATACACAGTAGTATAGAGTAGGAGCAGTGGCGTATAAGGTATCTTGGCTAACTATGGACTGGGGCTATTGTATTACACTGTACTTCCTTATAGACTGAAACACCGGTTGATTGACGGTGCTGGTTCGGGTGATTCATATTCATACAGGAGTGCATTCTGGGTGTATATCATTAACGTTTTTGTTTTGTTCTCTCCGTCTCCCACGCAGATTCAAAGTGTTGGTCGCAGCGTAAAACCTGAAGATTGACGTGATGGACGAGTCTACGTCGTCCGGCAATGACCATTCGGTCGGTGTGGACGGTTACGCGTTCAAAAACGAAATATCGCTCTCCATCGGGGAAGACGACCACAATTCGGGTACCAACAGTACGGCTATCCCGACGCCTTCGCCACGTCACGTCGAGGTGCCACTGCCAACGGACGAGAGCGAGTACACTTCGCTCAAGGACAGTAAACTGAACGGTAACGGAATGAGTGGAGTGGACAATCCGGCGTTCGTGGCCGATTTGGAGAAACGGCCGTTGAGTTCTTTTGGGCACTCGGGAGAAAAGTCACTGGGAGCTACCTCGATCAACGGCAAGGCCAATGGTGAGAAGCCCATGGCTGAAGCAGTCAACTTGGAACTGCTGAACATGTCGAAGCCGTCTAACGGTCACAAGAATGGAGCTACTGTCCTGCCGATCAAGAAGGATACCGAAGTCGACATCGGAGATCCATACGATGAGTATTTTGTGCCGGTGAACGAACACCGAAAGTTCATGAGGTAAGACTTTTTTAATTCCTTTGGGCTACTTTTGGTCAATTCCCATTCGAGGTTTCTGTTTGGAAATAACGGCCTTGAATTTGAGTTCGTTTCTAATCTGTTTGTCTATGTCGACACATTGCAATTCAATCATTCCACGATCATCAACACTACCACTACCACTACTACTACTACTACAACAACTACCACCGCCCGTCACTTCAATTGTGGTTCCCGCCGAATGCCTTAATGTCTTTACATATATATATATATTGCAAACAATCTAGCGTCTCGTTCCAAAAACCGCGTCGGCACGCGTACAACCATCACGACCGGGGTGTAGACTACACCGGTCACTCAGTCAATGAACCGGTGCACGGAACCGTGGACTATAAACAGTGGACCAATATCACGAGGTACCCCCTTGTTCCTTCTACTCAATCTTTTAGAGCCAGAGAACGACATTTATTAACCACCATCAATGTTACGCAATCATATTTATCCACCTAATATCCAAGGGATTCGGTCGGCAGAAACTGTGTCTAACACTTGCGGTTACATTGCCGATGCGCACTAACCTATGTCATCAAGGCGGATCTTCGCACGGGAGGTTTCCGTCTCTAATCCCAACATCACCCTCCCAGCTGCATCATTAAAGTGTATCAATATCTGGGGCGTACCTCGCCATCCAACTCCAACACCACCACCACCACCACCACTATTCGTTCGCTCTAACCTGGGTCTAAAATAGAAAGCTTATTCGCGCGGCGTCAGGTAATGTCTCGCTACCCAAGTTCATACAGTGCTTTTATGGTTACTCTCGTGCTACGAGACGGGTGCACACCAGTAATGCTTCTACGGTTGGGAAGTGGGAACCTAAAATCGATCCGCAAGTACCGCATGTGTGCACTTCCCATATATACGTACAACATAACCTTCGTAGATTTGTTCTGTCTGCTGACGACCACATACCGTGACCCTTTCGGGACCAAATCTTCCACTGAGCCTCAAAATTATCTCTCCTTGGCTCTCCCAGAACCGAATTCGTTGAAGCCTACATCTGTTTAAAATCTAAATTCGTAAGCATTGCGTCCGTCAGATGTTGAAACTAGAAACGTCAGGACAGTTTAGGGCACCCCAAAAGATTTACAATTTCAGTTCAGTATGACTACATTCCGAAACCGATGCATGCCTCGTCATCATGTACCTAGCAGGTACCTCATTCTGGACCCAAACAGACTCATACGCAAACTGAAAGCAAAACTTCCAAATCAAACGACGACCCAAGGGTCCCGAAAGGGTCTTAAAATTTGTACATAGCAGCAATGCCAGCGATCGCATTTAAATATAGACCTTCACGGCCAATCTGTATATACCATTTGTAAAGCAATCCGTTCGCCACCGAGCGTAACTCCGTCAAATCCCACTAATCGATTCCTACCTTGCGATTCTAGAGGCGAGAAATTGTACGTGACCAAGGATAAACGCGATAAGAAAAAGAAGAACTGGCTCTGCTGGGTGCTGGGCTTGGCCGTCCTACTGGCAGTGATCATCATAGCCATCCTGGCCGGATCCGGAGTGATATTCAACGAGAACCCTACGCCAGTGGAATCGCGACAGTTTGCCAAAGATAACCAGGTCGCTACGGCCGGTGTGTTCGGTTCGGGATCTCCCTCGAATCAGGTTCCACAGCCCCAGAACAAGACGACCTCTACGGAGTATCCTTCGACGATGTCACCTCCGGGATCGACGGTACCGCCCGTTCCGCCAACTACCGAGGAGAACATTATTTACGTGCCGAACACCCTGGAAGGACAGATCACGCTGACGAACTTGGAGTTCTTGGATGACTACCGGGACCCGAACAGTTCGGCCTACAAGTTGCTTGCGGCGGAACTGGAGGAAAAGATTAGAGATACCTTGGATGTTCCCGGAACTCGCGATCAAATCTTTGTCAAGATTATGAGTTTGAAGTAAGACCATCTATTTTTCGCAAAGAGTTAGTTATTTTAAACATTGTTTTCTATTTGTAGACCTGGATCCGTAGTCGTCGACTACCGCGTGAGCTGGGTCAATTCGAGTTCTCTAAATGTTGACAGTATGAAGGAAAGACTGACAAATTACCTGGGCGATAAGCAGAATAATCTCGCAACCTACATCGTTCCGGTCAACACGATTCGCGTAGCAAGACTTCCCGATCTTTGTTATTCCGGACCTGCTGAAATGAAGTATAACCACAATTGACACTTTCCCTAGTGCGAATAATGCTAATGCCAATGACCTTTTATTATTTCAGCTGTGAACACGCCTGTGAGTTCAACGCTCGTGTTGGAGACTTTGTTTGCGTTTGCCCAACCGGAATGCTGTTGAACAATGATGACGGAAAGTCCTGCTATACTCCAGTTCCGGCACTACAACCGGAACCATCTGCTGAACCGGAACCTGAGCCTGCCAGCGAACCTGAACCCGCTGGAGAGCCGGAGCCGTCGGGAGAACCAGAACCGTCGGGAGAACCGGAACCGTCGGGAGAACCAGAACCATCAGGAGAACCGGAACCATCCAGCTCGCCTTCAAGTGAACCAGAACCTTCAAGCTCTGCAGAACCGGAACCGGCAAGTGAGCCGAGTAGTGAACCAGAGCCTGCTAGCGAACCGGAGCCTGCTAGTGAACCGGAGCCTGCTGCCGAACCAGCACCTGCCAGTGAACCGGAGCCTGCTAGCGAACCGGAACCTACTGGTGAACCGGAACCCGCTAGTGAGCCAGAGCCTGCTAGCAAACCGGAACCCGCTAGTGAACCAGAACCAGCCAGCGAACCTGAACCTACCAGTGAGCCCGAACCATCGAGTTCACCCGAACCGGAACCGAAAAGTGAGCCATCTACTAAAGAAACAACGACCGCATCTAGCCCATCCGGAAAACTAGTCAACGAACCAACGCCTGTGAGTGAACCTGAGCCTTCCAGTGAGCCAGAACCAACGAGTGAACCGGAGCCTGCTAGTGAGCCAGAACCGGCCAGCGAACCTGCACCAGCCAGTGAACCTGAGCCTGCCAGCGAACCCGAACCTACAACCGAACAAGATAAATCCTCATCCAACCATTCTGCTAAGCTACAATTTGCTGATGCTCCTTCCTCTACTCCTGAACCCGAACCGAGCAGCGAACCTGAACCAACCAGTGCACCGGAGCCAAGCAGTGAGCCCGAACCAACGGGTGAACCTGAACCAGCCAGCGAGTCCAATCCAAAGAATGAAGTTGAACAGATTAAAGCCACCACCGTGAACCCCAGCAGCACGTCTGAACCTTCCGCTGAGCCTTCCGCAGAGCCTTCCGCAGAACCCGCAGCAGAACCGGAACCCGCAGCAGAACCGGAACCCTCAGCAGAACCGGAACCCTCGGCAGAACCGGAACCATCCAGTGATGACGGCCATCACTCATCGACCGAATCCAATCTGGGCAAGCTGCAATCCTCAACGGAGCACACCGATGAGCACACCATGCCTGACTTTATGATCCCCGATTCAGACGCGACAAAACATTCGACCAGCACTGAAAACATTTCTCCAACCTCGCCACATTCGACCACTACTGCTGTAGCTAGCGCTGAAACTCCGGCTCCCGTAACGGAAACGATCGTCGATGACGTTCCACAACCGACCGTCGGTTCGTTCCTAATTGCCGCCAAAACCACCCCCGGTATTGAACCGATGAATGTGTTCGATGCTCGATCGCTCGAACATAACACATCTACAACCGCAGCTGGGGAAAATTCCCTCTACTCCACATCTAGTCCGATTTCGCTGGAGCAGTGGCGATCGTCTACCAGCTTCTCTACCTCAACGGAAACCCTGGAGCATCCAAAGGAGCACGACGAAGACATGTCGCCCTTCCTGCCGAACATTGAATCATCCAGTGCAAAGACTCGCGGAATGTACGCCGTTACCGAAACCATTCTGGAAACGGAGACTGCTCCATCGCTGCTGACTCACGCCGATCAGTCGCCGTTCCTGCCGGAAATCGACAACAATGCAAGCTTGGTGAAACTGCTCCACGAGGGGCTGGATCGTCAAACCGATGGCTTCGATAACGATTTGCAGCAGCAGCACTATCTGGAAGTGTTACCACTGTCGAAGGAAAACGATCGCAATGACTACAAAAAGCAGCTGGATACGGCAATAACCAAGACAGTCTACGTAGCGACGACAATTCGAACGTACGAACCAACGACCGATTCGTTAGAGGATTTGATAACGGCTGCCAGTTCTAGGAATATCGTTGAGCAGACAACTAACGGTGGGGAAGATGTGATGGGCACGAGTACCGAGAAGGACGTTGAGGAGACGACTCTGGGTAAGACGGGTGCTGTTGGTATGACAACCGAGAGCGAGAGTGCTCGGTTGGAGCAGTCTACGGAACAGGTGGAGGAGAGACCTCTGACGACGATGATTATGGAAGAGGAGGAACATGAAATGGTTGCTTCGCCAAAGGCTGATGTTGAGGAGATCAATTCGACTGAAGGTGGGGCGGGAATGGATGATGCTAAAGCGGATTCACCCAAGGGCGACGTGGAGCTCGTATCGAACAATGATACTGCCGAAAAGATTACGGCAACGGAAGCCGAAGTGGCAACTACCGAAAGGGAAATGATGGAAACCACTATGGGTGCTGCTAAGTTAGAATTGGAGGAAGAGCGGGCGACGGCATCGAAAGCCGAAACCGAAGAAGTGACCGATGCTATGCGAGATGAAACAACTGAGAAGCAGGCGAAGGTTGTGGTTGAGTCTACGACGGAGAAGGACATCGAGGAGACCACGGTTCATGCTGTTGTGAACGCATCGTCTACCACGACAACGGAACCAGGTGCCATCGCCAAGTTGATGGAGGAATCCACCGTTGAAACGAAAGAACCACCTACTACGACGACGGTTAACAATGAACCTAGTACGACGCAAGCGGTAACCACCTCAACAACGACGGAAGAGGCAACCACTTCAACAACGACGGAAGCGATAACCAGCTCGGCAGCACCATCGACTACCGATACTACCAAAGCGGACATCCTGGAAAAGACTCTGCAGGACTTGGATGAAGATAATGATATTTCCGAGAACGAGTTGAAGGTTCTACCGCTGGACAGGAAGCCGGATAAATTGCAGGAAGCACCGCCATTACCCGATCCACTTTCGCCCTCTCAGAAAACGACAGTCGACCAGGAGTCCACCTTCGAAACGACTACCGGTCATTTTTTAGGAGAAACGACGTTTCATTTGATTAGATCAGAGAGATCGAATGAGACGTCGTTAATTAAGACGAGAAATTCTGGCGATGACGACCTGAGCGAATTGGTGGCTAGCGCAAGTGGAATGTTCACAAAGTGTGCGGTTGGACAGTTTGAGTGCGTGAATGGAACCTCTATCAAAGACGGCAGCTCGTGCATTCAGAAATCGGAGCGATGTGATTCGGTGTCACATTGTTCGGATAATTCCGACGAGCAGGACTGCGAGCGATTGGGATGTCCGGGGCATTTCCAGTGTAAGGATGGGTTCTGTTTAGCGCGGCAACATGTGTGCGACGGAATAGCACACTGCAATGATGGAAGCGATGAGATTGAGTGCAACCAGTGGCAGTGCAATTTCGATGAGATATCTTGCGATCCGGAAGGACGCAAGGGTCCGTGTCTGCCGGCACAGTGGAAGTGCGATGGGCTGGAGCAGTGTGCGAATGGGTTCGATGAGAGTGATTGTCCGGATACGTGCACGAATGATCAGTACTTCTGCGTTGGTCAGCGGAAATGTATTCCGGAGGCTTGGCGATGTGACGGAAAGTCGGACTGCACGAATGATGAAGACGAACGACTGTGCGACTGTCCGGTTGATAACTTCCGGTGTAATACTGGTGGTTGTGTGCCAAGTGCTTACGTGTGCGATGGCCAGCCGCAGTGTCCGGATCTGTCGGACGAGTGGGGTTGTTTTAGGTTGGAGGAGAGTGAGTTGAAAGTTCGAGTGGAATCGGAAAAGCTGAATCCGGTGTGCGGAGATGGTTGGACGATGGAGTTATCGGACGCCGTTTGTGCGGAGCTGGGCTACTCGCGAGCCAAGTCATTCTCGATCTCAAACGAAACGGGTGGCGGCGACTCGTTCTACCGGTTTGTGGGCGTGAACAGTACCAATCTGCTGGGCAGCTTGGCTTTGGTGACCAGCTGCTCCGTGGGGCAGGTGAACATCGACTGTGAACTGTATCGTAAGTGTAGATGGCTGGCTTTGAGGTGATTGAATTTCGGATTGAAATTTGGTTGATTTTTTTTTAGGTTGTGGCAGTGACCGCATTACGTCTACGTTGGAACAACGGATAGCCGGTGGGCTTACAGCGGACTCGAGTCAACTTCCTAGTCTGGCGTTGGTTTACAGCAGTAACGCGGCCATCAAGTGCACTGCTAATATTGGTAAGTTGAACGGCTTTGCTTGAATTCTGTATTAACTCACTGAGATACATTTTGCAGTATCTCCTCGATGGGCCATCGTAAGCTACTCCTGCATGATGGGTAAAACGGAATTCATCGACAACCGAAATGTAGCCGAACTGGATTGGAAGCTGTTTGCTGGAACATCGCAGTTTAACTACACTATGATCAGTGGTAGCAGTTCAAACAGTTCCTACCAGATTGTCGAAGTGCAGAGGATCGTCCCCTATCCTCAGGTGGGTGGTTGTCTAATGAGATGATTTGAAGCGATTCTAAATGATTTATCCATTAGGCCAAATACAAGCAATTCCTCTACACCGGAGATATTGTGCTGCTGCAACTGGCTAAGCCACTTCAGTTGAACGAGCGGATTGGCAGTGCCTGTCTGGTCCAGGACTCCGAAATCATCCAGAATCAGTTGTGTCTGACAGCTGGTTGGGGTGTGGATCCGTCGGCCGTTACCAGTACCGAACAGTATCTCAAGTATCTACCAGTGCCAACGATGCCGGCGGAAAAGTGCAACTCCAGCGTGCACTACAACGGTTCGCTGACGGACGACGCCATCTGTGCGGGCTACCTCAGCAGTAGCAAAGCGACTTGCTATGTGAGATTTCAATTTGAGTTTAGCTTATTCAGAACTTCGAACTAATTGTACGCTTGATTCCAGAATGACGAAGGAGCTCCGCTGATGTGCCACGTCGAGAGTACCGGCCAGTGGATGCTGGAGGGCATTCTCAGTTACCATGGCAACTGTGGCAAGCGGCCACATCCAGCCATTTACAACTCGATTACCTCAGGCATCTCAAGTTGGATCCGGAACACGGTTGGCAATGATCTGATGTTCAGGAGCGGTGATAATGGCGCCGAGCCAATCAGCACGCAGGTCGCACCACGGTAGACGTGTGCACGGAGTTTGGCAGATCAACTCGGCTGCGTGTGTGCTTGTGTTTATGTAAATATTGCGTGTAATATAGAAGAAAACGGGCTTGAATGATAGTTTTACGTGGAAGCAACTTTTAAGAGTGAAGAAATTTTGTTTTGAAAAATTGTATTTATAGATAAAAAAAGCGTAGCACGTAGGAAACGAGAGAGAATAATTCTGCGTTTTTTCTTTGTTTTCGGTAAATAGAGAATGTCTGATGCAAGAAGAAAAGAACCTAGTCACAAAAGCCGATTATTTTGTGCCAATACCTTGAAGTGGAAATGAGTAATGTCTACTTTTCATGAAATGAAAACCGCAACCCGAGCGAGATAAATACCTGCAATGATCGATCACGCTTTCCCCTTCCCCCCACCATCTCAAATGGCAAAATTACCAAATGATGACTGTTTCGAAATTGCTAGCGTTACCAATAGTAAGTGTGCGGAAGATACAATTAAAAGAAGACGAGGGAGCATTCCCAGAAATCTGTCAAATCAGACACAAAATCTCGTTTTATGTTTTGTTAATAGTATTTTTTTCTGAATCACTTGTAAATATGATCCCTATAACAATTAAATGATACTGTAATTGCTTGTAGGTAACCTTACTAAGAATATGATTCGCAATATAAGTAGAGCAGATGGAAAGCAGCAAATACCGATATACTTAGTTTTTAGAGCAAACAAACAAGTGTAGATCTTTTCGAATTGCAATTTGCTATTTAGGGAAGTAGGATAATTTTCCAATTGAAAAACCATTTAATCTGTTTCTTTTTTTTTGTCTAGCAATAACAATGGCCGGTTTTTTAAGCTCCTCCTTTCGTTCATTATCTTGCATGTTACTCTGTTTTCCCCTTTTCTCATCAATACTCAATTCCGGCAGAAATAATTCTGAACTGCAAAACAGTCGCTACGTAACGAGAATCTGTATTCAATCTGAGGGTTTTCGGCGATAGGAGATCAATTAAAGAATAGATTAATATTTTATTACTTATATAATGTATGGCTTTTTGATTTATGTGTTTCTTCGAAATTAACCTTTCCCTAGTGATACATTTTCTTATATTGTAAATGGCAAGGGAATAAAATAGCAGTTCCTCTGTAACCTCTGAATATGTTCTGGTATTTTAAAATATACTTTTGGAGAACTTTGAACAAGCTCGTGAAGTACTCAGCGCATCGTATGACCGCATAGTTCTTTGAACAAGCCCTGAAAGTGCTGTGAATTTGTCCCAAAAGATCTTTTGATGGTCAGTTGAACATTATTAAAGAACTAGGCACGACAACTTACGAATAATGGTCAGGCCGAAGAAATGGATTCAAGATGTAATAGACTAAAAGTGATGTTATTAACAAACGATTACAATAACAGGAGTGTTTATATAGCACTATTGGTTGACAATGTGTTTATGCTCTCTATAGATGGAAGATGCAGAGCTGCCAATAATTTGGATCAACTCAAGGTAAACAATATTCCTTGATTTGGCTTGTTCGACCCTTTTTTGAAAACTATTTTCTTCAATTGACTCAAATCTTCTCTGCAAACTTGTTGATCTTTATCGTTCATTAGACTGTCAGAAACCATATCCTCGGAGCCAGAGCTCTAAACTTTCGAAGCCCTTAAATTTTAGTCGCCTAGCTAGACTATCAGCATGAAACGAAAATGAAAAAGAAGCACGCTTAGAACGGTTTTATAGCATTCCACAAGTCTAAATCATGGTCTACAGAACCCTCATAAAACCAAAATTGTTACTTGGGAAGGCTGGCTGTGGATTTTCTCGTCGTTGATTTGCTCAACACTTTCAATGAAAGTAACGTCGATTGTCGAGTTGAAACCAAACCTCATTATGGCTTTCAATCCCTTTCACCGACACTCTATCACCGCTCTTTCAAATTGTTTAAAAGGTGTATTCGATAAAAATGGCACATTCATATTTACTCACCAAAATTAAACCGCTTATCGGATTTTCTGGAAATTTTCAGGGAATGAAAAACTGCTAATTCGAGCACCTTCCTTTCACTCCACCCATCAATTTTTGTTGTTTTTACTCAAATTTTCTTCAACTCCAGCTTTCAAAAGTTTTGGGATGGTTGCGATGTTCCTCATGAATGGCAAGAGACGCTTCTGAAGGCACTCTTCCGTGTAAACCGCATGTCATGACAAAAAATTCGATGAGATTTTGAAGAAAAAAAACTTTCATCGTTTTCTCATCCGATGATAGTGACAAAAGTATATCTGTAAATAGCGCGTGAGATCTTTCATTGAAAATGATATTTGCCAGCACTGCTCTGAGCTCAACACAACTTTATGCCCCAAAGCAAACTTCTTCGTTCTTCAACATACGAAAAAAATCGGTAAGATCCTTCCATTGCATTATTTTATGTTTCTTCAATATTGTACAAATATTTACACATTGCACACAACTACAAATAGTAGCTCGGAGCGTTTGGTACGGTATGTCCACGCATCCTTCCACCCTTGTAGATCCAAGAAATGTTCCCATTCATTTCCAAGAATTATCTTTGCGGCAAATACAATGCAGTAGGCCTGGCCGTATTGATGTTTATATCATATCTCAGATATGCTGTAAACATCAATTAGACAAGAAAAATGATTAGACCTCATCTAACCTTATCATCTTCCAGGATGCTTTCTCGTACTGGCTGCGTTTGTATTAGATTAGATTAGATTAGACAAAGCAAACTTCTTCGGTCTTGTCCGAATGTATGGGTTCTGTCTCTTTTCTTTCGTCAACGAACCAAATTAAAAATGCCATTCAAGCATCACGCCAAGAGTCCATCCATTCTAATACCATAGAGAACAGACGTCCAACTTCGGTCAGAAACTTGTGTAAAGATAAGTGGGAACATCGCCGTTACGTGGCGCTAGCATTTCCGGATTTCCTCTATAATTTTTTTTTTACGAAACAGCATTCATGGGGAATTCATTCGTTTCTACCGAAATGGGTTAGGTTTACTCAGTTGACAAATGTCATAATCTGAGTAACCGTTGCTCAGTTTTCTCCATATTCACGTTTACTCAAATTTGCGTAAAAGCATGTTTACTCATTTTTGAGTAACTTCCCTTTTGGCTGAACTGAGTGATTTTCGACTTAAAAATGAGTAGCCTCAAAATAGCGTGCACGCTGTTTCAAAACTACCAAAATTTGGGTAGAATCCACCCAGGTATGTCAAAACTAAACCTACACGGAAATAGAAAACTACCTAATATTAAGTTCAATCTACCCAACTACCTAGTTCCGTGCGGGAAGTTAAAATTGAGTTCTACCCATTGAACCCAAAAATAAGTTCCTGCACCTAAAGTATTGGATGGGTAGTTTTTACCTAACGTTAAAAATAATAAAATTAGGTTAAAAAAACTTAAAATTAGGTAGTTTCCAAAAAAATAGAATACAGGAAATATTGATGACTGCAACTAAAACTAGGCTACCCCAAAAAGTGCGATAAAAATGCAAGTTGTCGCCAAATCGTTTTGGTGTCTTCGGAGCACTTATTGCTTGCATCATAAGGAATAAGTATACTGAAGACACCAAGAAGATTTGACGGAAACTGGCACTTTTACTTAAATTTTTAATAGGGTAAGTGTTCCAGTTTTGGCACAATCCCATAAGCGTAATGGTTCCTATTTTGGCCCTACTTTATACAAATTACACGGGCTAATGCCAAAACTGGTACATATTTTAAGTAGTGCCAAAACTGGCTCACTCACCCTAAATGAAAACGCATACATTTACCCAGTTTGGAATGAAGTGTGCATAAAGGGGAAACAAAATGAAACAAAAGCCCGCTGTTAATCTTTTTATTTATCTTGCATTTAACATTTTTGTTTATTTTTATTCATTTCGAAACAACTTGCTTATTTTTTGAAATATCAGCTTCTGTCAAAGAGTAAAATACAAAAAGATGCATGTGTAAAAATATGGACCGAATCCAATAAACAAATAATCATGTAAAAAAGTAAAATACAAAATATGCAAATGTAAACATATGGACCGAATCCAATAAACAAATAGTCATGTAACAAATTTTATGTTTCTTTTTTTGTTTTAATTTTCATGTTCTTCAAACCTCTTCGCCAAGTTGATGACCGTTTGGCTGCGGCAACTCTCAATCGTTTTGAAAACTCGGAGCGAAATAAGCTCATGTATTTTTCGAAGAAGCACGGGTACGGGAACGCCAAATACTGCAAACATCTTGAAAAATACATCGACGACTTGTGCTGAAGATCCACCACATGAAATCACGTTTCCTTCAAAAATTATGTGGTATGACCCGTGCTTGAACAGATCTCCACAGATCCTTCCATTTTCCCGGTTCTGGTCGGAAAACAGCACCTGCAAGGAACTACGCACTCAGGACACTCGACGGATACACTAGACAAGTCCAATAAGCTGTACAAGGTTGTACAAATCGGATCCTCTCGGAGCTTCTCCCTTTTCTGTCGAGTTTGGTTCGTTCAAGTTCTGCAATGAAAAATCTATTTAGAACTGAATTTAAGGAAAAATATTCTTGCAAACTTACGATTGCATGCAACCTCCGTAGGGAAAACGAATGAAAACAACCGCTCTTTACGCCACACTGCTACACCTCGTATCGGTGAGCGAAAAGCAACGTGGCACTTTGGATGTGGTCTCGACTTCGCAATCCTGACGCTCCACGGACGGGATACACCGTTGGTTCGACTCGGACTTAGCTTATACGGCGTTCGACGGACTATGAACTTTGGTTTGTTCAACCACGTTCAACACGTGAAAACGTATCCAAACAACCACTAAACTCAACAAGGTTAATCTGCCAACTGCTCTCTACTCCCGACGGAGCCGCACTGGTCCACCTCTTTCCAGTGAGCGGACAACAACGAGGCACTTCGTCGTTGGTGACACTTTACTTCGGATGAAGTCTCGACTACGCACTCCGAACGGTCCACGGACAGGATACGTTGTTGGTTCGACTGCGACTGTGATTCTGCGTGCTACGTTCGACGAACTGTTAAGTTCGGTTCATTCAATTTCTGCAATGAAAAAAATAACATTTTACACTGAATTTACACTCAAATACCCGAACAAACTTACGCAACCGCTAAAATCAGCACGGATCTGGCTACTCCTCTTAACGCTTGATGGAGCCAAACAACCACACCTCGTTCTGGTGAGCGGATGGTAACAACGGACACACCCGACAAATAAACTAAGGTGTACTCGGTTGTAAAAATCGGAGCTTTTTCTTCTGACTTCTAGGCGTGATCACGACTACGCACTCCTGACGCTCCACAAATGGGATACACCGTTGGTTCAACTGTGACTGACTGTATGCAGCGTACGACGGACCGTCAAGTACGATTCGTTCAATCACGTTCAACTTCTGCAATCAAAAACAAAACCATTGAGCATTTAATTAACTAAAAAATATCAGTACAAACTTACGATTGCGTGCCACCTCCGTAGTGTAAACGTATCCAAACAACCACTGAAATCACCACGGTTAATCTTCCCCCTGCAATTTTCTTCCGCCGAAGCCGCACTGGTACTCCTCTTTCTGCTGACCGGATATCGACGAGGCACTTCGTCGTTGGTGGCACTTTACTTTGAACGTGGTCTCGAATACGCACTCCGGGTGCTCCGCGGACGGGATATGAAATCAGCACGGATTACGGAACTGCTGGTAACGCTCGATGGAGCCACACTGCTACACCTCGTTCTGGTCTTTATACGTTCGACGGAGCCGCACAACTACCACCGACCAACCGGTAGATTCACTGTATTTCTGGATGCAGTCACGACAAGTCCGAAAACTTCACGGGCGGGATATGCCGTTGGACCGATTTCGAGGGACAGTGATATCTGGCTCTGATCGGGAAACCCGGATCCTGCAAAGAAATAAGGAAAAACATAACCTTCAAATTAGTTGGAACGCCGATTTTGCTGATGGGGGGAATGCCATATAACGAAGAAGATTTTACTTACGGAATATTGAGAGTG